TGTTAGAGGGCTCAGATGTGAGTTTCTATGGTTCGTATAGCTTTGGGAGGTGATTTGGGACTTAGGAGCGTGATCGGAATACGTTTTGGAGGTTCGGAGTAGATTTAGGCTTGAATTGGCGAAGTTGATATTTTGGCGATTTCCGATTGGTAGGAGAGATTTTGATATAGGGGTCGGAATGGAATTTCGAGAGTTGAAGTAGTTTCTTTGTGTTAATTGGGATGTGTGCGCAAAATTTCAGGTCATTTGGACATGGTTTGGTTGGGTTTTTGATCAAAAGCGGAATTTGGAAGATTTTGGAAACTTAGGCTTGAATCCGATATGTTTCGGTTGATTTGATATTGTTTGAGGTGTTTTGAAGATTGGTACAAGTTTGAATAAGGTTTTAAGATATGTTGGTGCCTTTGGTTGAGGTCTCGGGAGCCTTGGGTGAGTTTCGAGGGGTTGAACGGATCATTTTTAAGTTAAGAAAAACTGCAGATTTTGGTTTCAACTGTTACAAGCATTTTGGTCTTCGTGTTCGTGAGTGGACCCTCGCATTTTTGAAGGGTCAGGAAGGGAGGCATTAGGTTTGGCCTTAGCGTTCGCGAAGGGGAGTCCCGCGTTCGAGAAGGGCCGGAATGGTAAGCATTGCATTCGTGAGAGGCCTGGTCGCGTTCGCGTAGGTTGGTGAAGTTGAGGCATCGCGTTCGCGTTGGTGAGGTCGTGTTCGCGAAGAAGAGTTTTGGTAAATGGGATTTTTGTGCTTTGCAAGCGCAAGGCGTTGACCGCGTTCGTGAATAAGGAAATTAAGACTAGGCAGAAGGTTTAAAAGGTCGTCTTGTCCGCGAATGTGGGGTTTATTTCTTCCATTGTTGGTCGTTTTTGGAGCTTTTGAAGGGGATTAAAGAGGGATTCAAGGGGAATCACTTAGAGGTAAGATTCTTGGGCTTAAAACTCTATTCTAATGTGAATTCCACCTAAATAATCATGGAAATTAAGCCAAAAATTGAAGAACTAGGGCTTGAAAACTTAGACATTTGATTGAGGATTTGTAGGAACATTTGAGGTCGGATTTCAGAACTTTTGATATGTATGAACTCGTGGGGAGATAACGAATCTACTGATGTAAAAATTATCGAATTCCGAGATGTGGGCTCGGGGGTCAAGTTTTGGTAATTTCGGGATTTGTGTCGTATTTTGATTATTTTCGCTTGGACTTCGTTCCCTTAGCATATTTTGATGCCCTCGTTCTGATTTTGGATAGATTTGATGCGAGTGGAGGCCGATTAGAGGGGAAAAAGCATCTCAAGCTAGAGATTTGACCGGTCCAAGGTGAGTAATGATTGTAAATGATGTTCTGAGAGTTTGAAACCCCGGATTGCACATCGTAGTGCTCTATTGAGGTGACACACACGCTTGATGACAAGCGTGGGGTCGTGCATTGTTGGGGATTATGACTTAGTCCGTCCCGAATGACTATTTTACCGAGTATTTGACTGAAATCTATTTGCTATCATCATGATTTGGGCTGAATGCCATATTTGGGCCTTGTGCCAACTATTTGAACCCTTCGAGGATTTTTACTGGTATTTCCTCACTGTTTTGAGTTTATACTTAAACTCAGTCATGTTATATTTCACTATTTTTCGTACTCAGCCATGTTTACTCTATTTTAACACTTACATGATCTTTTAAATGATATTTTTAGGCTGAAAAGCATGTTTTACTATTGCCCGTGTGGCTTGTGAGGATTTTGACTGAGTAAGGCCGAGGGCCTATGTTGTGAGGAAACATTTGATACTGATTATGAGGCCGAGGGTCTGAGATATATACGCCACGAGGTGGCTTGATTGATATGAGGCCGATGGCCTAGTGATGATGCAACGAGGTGACTTGATTTTGCGCTTGGGCCGTAAGGGGCCCCTCCAGGAGTCTGTACACCCCAATGAATGCGGGTACCCATTGTGATGTGAGATTGACCCCGGGGGGCTGGTATTGTTCTATGTGATTGTCCGAGGGGCGGATTTATTGATACTTTGCCCGAGGGGCGAACCTTTATGTGTTTACTTGTCATAATTGACTGCCAATTACCTGCTTAATTATTGAAAAAAGCTTTTCATGAAGTTAAATTTGAGTTAAAGCATTTTTACCTATCTTTCACTGATTTTACTGTTTTTAATGGGTTTACTGCTTCATTATAGCATGCTTTAAGCCTTACGTGATTTCCTGCTTTCAGTATTTATTTATGATTATTACTCACTAAGTTGGAGTACTCACTTTACTCCCTGCACCCTGTGTGCATATTCAGGCGTATCTGGTCCCGCTCCCGAGTGCTGATCATTTCCGGCTCAGGCAGATCCAAGGAGTCTCTAGGTAGCTGTTGGCGTTTGCAGCCCGGAGCTCTTCCCTATCTTACTTCTTCATGTTCTTAATTTCTGTATTAAACTCTGTAGTTTGATTTGGAGTATTCCGGATTGTTTAGATGCTCATGACTAGTGACACCCAGGTATCAGGCTGTGTTGGGTTATTTTTCGTGAATTATGCTATTATCTATTAATTTTGGATTATCTTATCATGCTTTAGATTTATTTTTTATGGTTTAACTGTTAATAATTGGATATGGGAAGTGTCGACTGGCTTTGTCTTCACGAGAGGCGCCATCACGACCACGTATGGGTTTTGGGTCGTGACATGTAGACCTAGTGACGTCCCTCCCTAGTTTGGTGTTTGTTCTAGTTGTTGGTCGCTGCACTACACTCATTCAGAGTAGCTATTCATAAGTCAATAGATACCAAAGTATATGTTGCAATTATTTTGGTACGGCGAGACTCTATCCTGACCAATTTATATATATGTTTTTTTTGGCGCTCTTAGAAGCTTACAGACAAGTATTCAGATGTATGTAAGGGTTGGTTATGACCATGTTGGCAACAGTTGTGAAATTGTGTAAATGTTAATATTCCTTTCACAATCAATTGTGTTTATGTTAAATTTTAGTATTACAGTTGTAGGCCTCGTTGACCCCAATTTTATGTTGAGGTTTCTAACCATGGGCATCAGTTTACACGGGCCTTCGGGCATCGTGTGTCAGTCACACATCCCAAGTAGAGGTGTACAAAAGAAATTGACAAACTGCACCAACCCGATAATCCGAGTCAAACCGAGAAAAAAAACCTGACTATGGTTTGGTTTGATTTGGTTTGGTGTTGGAAAAAAAATTCGATCATAATTGCTTTGGTTTGGTTTTAACTAAAGAAAGTCAAACCGAAACCAAACCAACCCGACATTACATATATAGAAATTTTAGATATATTTAATATATAAATATACTTATTGTGATGTAATTTATAAATATTTCTTAAAATTTTTCATAATTTTATCTTTTAAGGTATTATTTCAAGGTTGAACTTAGAACTTTTGAATGTTCCAATAAGTTTTATAGTCATTAACATTAGTAAATTAAATAATGCTAACAAAAGCCCAAACCAAAATTAAATCAATACTAATGCTAACAAAAGACATTCAATTCAATACTACGGACGAGAATGTATTGAATATCTATTTTTTGTTTTGCAATAATTTAGATAAAAATGCATAACCTATTTTTATTTTTTTAGTGTTTAGTCATGTAATTAATACTCTCTTATTTGTCTACTTATTTTAGCATGACTTAGTACTTTTAGATTATGCTTATTTTTATTATGACTTTTTAATTAGCAATATTCATATTACATAGTTTTATTGTCTTTATTGTAGAATATTTTAGGATAATGTCATGACACATCTTATATTTCGTATTATTTTCTTGGAAAATACTTTATATAGTTGTATCTTGCTAGGATTAAAAAAATATTTGGAGAATAATTTATATGTTTTGTTCTACGAAGATTTTACCGGAAAAAAAAATCTGAAAAACCCGAAAACCCGAGAAAAATCAAGAGTGAAAACCCCATATTTTATTGGTTTGATTTGGTCTTTAGATTTAATAACCTGATACAGTTGGTTTGGTTTGATAATTGTAAAATCCGAACCAACCCGACTTATGTACACCCCTACTCCCAAGGTCCTGTGACACTCACCCTCCCTTAAGGATAATAAAACACTATCGGGATAACTAATTTCGGGGTTAGTTATACTATGATTTTATTCCAACTAAATATGGGATAAACTCATCTCAAATTTAATTTCGTAATTAATTATCCTTTAGCTCTCGTACCAAACGAGCCCAAAAATGTTAAACAAAGTTCTACCGTTCAAAACTTTGAAATTAAAACAATAACTTTAAAACTTGAAAAGGAGATTTATTAATAAGAAAGTCCTACAAAAGTAACTTGTATATAACACTTAGGGGTGTTTGGTATGAGGTATAAGAAGGTATAAGAGTGGTATAAATATTTAATATCACCTTAATATTTTGTTTGGTTAGCAAATCAGGTATAAGTTATCCCCGTATTAATTATAACACCGAGATAACTTATATCTTATAGTGAGTGGGTAATTAGCACCGGTATAATTTATACCTTCTTCTTGGAAATTATGCAATTATCATTCTTAATACAACATACAACATACCAAATAGTAAATAAATAATAATCCCAGCATAACTTATACCGGTATAAACATTATTCCAACCAAACGACCCCTTACAGTTCCTTGATTTTCTTTTTGTTACTTCACCATGAAAAAACAAAAATTAATAGAAAAAGATTGAACACACGGCTAACAAGAATGAAGAATAAACAAACCAACATAATGCTCGTTTAATTATTGGTTCTTCTAGTATCTCTGTTTTTGACTAGACATGAATATATATCTATATTTGTACGTTAAGAAAACAAAAAAGTGAATAATAATAACATATACTAGTACACAAAATTAGTTTTAAAAAGAAAAGATAAAAAGAAGTGTCAAGAATGAGAAAAGGACTAATAGGGTCTATTACTCTTTCCTTCAAATAGGACCCCACCCAACAACTCCTTAAACCTCATCCCTCTCTCTCCATAGCATTTATTTAATTAACAATTGAATAAATTGGATAGAATCTCTATAAAGACTCTTTCCTGTGCTTTCAATCCAAAATCTTCTTTTTTCCTCTCATCAACCCAACCATCCCCACTGCCCTTTTCCTCTTTTTGCCGATTTGTAATCCAAAATTTTCGCTTTCTTTCCTCACATGAAAGAATGGAGCTTGGATTAAGCTTAGGAGATACTAACACTAATACTACTACTGCAACAGCAGCAGCAGCTTCTTCAAAATCATTTTTCTTGTCAAAGAACATTAAAACTTCATCTTCTGATCAGAACCATAGTAAGAAGAAGAGAAAGGGTTTAGGGTTTTGCATGGCTTTGGGAATTAACTCATCAAATGGAAAAGTCCAAGAACAACATGATGATGATGATGATGAAGAAAATCCAGAAAAATCTCATGATGATGAAGATGATGAAGGCGATGAGCATACATCTGAAGAAGGGAATATTAATGGGAATACACCAGTTCAGCTTGATCTTCTCCCTCTTGCTCCTGTTCCTCGCCGTAGTTTTCCTCAGTCCCTCCATTGGTCTTCTGATAATGGTAAACATATACACATACCTATACATACACATGAACATGGGATTTAATCTATTCATATACACAAAACCATACATGCAAGTATGCAACATAGAAAATAAGTATTTTTTTCGTTTTACTCCAAGATTTAACCATTTTCCAAGAATATTTCAAATTTGATGAACACTGGCTTTTTCTCATGTATATATAATATTAGTATACACTTATGATTGTTTTTAGTATTGACCTTATTTCACATTTAAAATCGAAAACCATTGGGCTCAGTTGAACTGAGAAGGCTCTATTTATCTCTGAAATTTTAGTGATGTTTGACATATATTTACTATTTCGTGTAAACAATATTGAGTTTTGTTTCAACTGGTGAATAAAGACTCCATCCGCCAATGACTTCCATTTTCCAAGAAATTTTCGAAGTTTTTTTATGAAATTGATGGTCTGTATTTATGTCTTTATAGGAAGTTCTGAGAATGGTTCGTCCGGTAACGGGGGGCTGCCGGCGGCGAGGGGGTTCGATGTGAACAGGGTTCCGGCGGCGGGTACGGAAGAAGTTTCATCTCCAAACAGTATAGCGTCGTCGTTTCGGATGGATTTTGGTCTTTTTAGGTCTGCTAATATTATTGGGAATAAACGGAACTCGGACTCCGGCGGAGGAAACGACGGCGGTGAACCGGAAAGAGCATCTTCAAGAGCAAGTGATGAAGATGAAAATGGTGTTAATACTCGCAAAAAACTTAGGTTGTCAAAAGAACAATCAGCTTATCTTGAAGAAAGTTTCAAAGAACACCACACTCTTAATCCTGTAAGTTATTAAAACAAATAGTACTCCATATTTTTTTCAATTATTATTTATGGTTTTTAAAGTAGATATTTTGATTTATTGGTGTTTTTTGGGTGTTATTGTTTGGTACAGAAGCAAAAGCTGGCACTTGCCAAACAGCTAAATCTAAGGCCAAGACAAGTTGAAGTCTGGTTTCAGAATAGAAGAGCAAGGTTGGTGTCCAATAAAAAAAAATATTTTTATTTGTTAAGACTATTTTATTCAAAATAATATTTGGTAGATTTGGTTATTAGATAATTGAAGGCAACAAAGAAAACATTTGTTTGTGACAGATGGGAATTTTAATAAATGGTCTGGTCTATTGCCCCACTTGGGTACAATTTTGCAGCAACTCCTTTTAATATTCTTGGATAATGTGAGCACTTGTCTTTACATGTATACAACCACAATAATTAATGCAAATTGAATTCTAGTCATACCTGTTACTCAGCTAGCAGTATGTCATATCATTTTCTTGGATTTATGTTTAGATTGTTTTTATTGAAATAATAGTAATAGTATTAAATATGGAAGAATTAAATTTTTTATTTGCAGGACTAAGTTGAAGCAAACTGAAGTGGATTGTGAGTATTTGAAGAGATGTTGTGAGACATTAACTGAAGAAAACAGAAGGCTACACAAAGAACTTCAAGAATTGAGAGCTTTGAAAAGTTCTAATCCATTTTACATGCAACTTCCGGCCACCACTTTAACTATGTGTCCGTCTTGTGAAAGGGTGGCTACCACCACCTCCGCCACCGCTGCTCCTCCCACCACCGCCGCCGGTACCACCACTCCCAAAGCCCCAACCCCTATCCCCACTACTACTATCACCACCACCACCACTACTAGTGACTCTATTCCTAAAGCTATTCCATTCCTTAATTCTAGACCAAGATTTTTCCCATTTAATACCACCACTAATAGTCCCAACCATCCACATCAATCTGCAGCCTCGTAAAAAAAATGTTAATTTTCTTTTGCTGTAAATATACTAATCATTGGCTTGCTTTTTCTGCCTCAAAGATCTTGGTAGGATGAGATCATGAAGAGGGATTTTCTGTGTCCTTTGGGATTCTTGATGGTTTTTATCTCAACATATTGAAGACTATTTTTGGTTCATTTATATGTGAAAGGAAAAAGAAAAGATTAAAAGGAAATGGTATAAGAGAAGGTTTGTAGTTGTTGTACTAGGTTTAGGGAAGAGGGTCCCCTTGTTTTGATCATCTTGAAAAAAATAGAGCAGTTCTCTGTTTTTGTCTGCATTATATTTATATTTCTCTTATTCATTTTAATATCTAAATATTTGTGGTCTCTTATTCATTTTGATGCATGAGTTTTTGTTGTCACGGTTTAGTTTCGCTAGGCTATCCAAGAATTTTTCAATAAATACAACGATACCGTATAACATGTACATTACGTCCCTTTATAATTTTCAATTTAAGAAAATGAAGGATTAAAATACTCCAAAGAAGAATTTAGGCACAAACAAAAAATTCAGCAAAAGCTAATATAAAAGAAATTTATTGGGAAAGAGTGGTAGTATGTTTTTTCACAACTCATAGAATCTCTCTGCATCGTAACTATTTCTCCAAAATAAGAAATATGTAATAGCACCTCTGTTTATAATACTACAAAATCAAATTTGACTAGAATCTAGAAAACCTATTTCTAGGTTGTGAATCCTAATTAGACATAAATTATATAAAATCAGTAAAAACCAAATCTTAGACAACCTAATAATGCTAATTAATCTTGGTTTAGTTTCCAACAGAAAATAATCTTTTTAGATCTCTTATTTGTAAAAGACTGATGTCTTGCGTGTAAAAGTAAATCTTACGTGTATGAAAAATGAAGTAGGATTATAAAACTAAAAATAAGTTTGTAAAGAGCCAAAAAAATCAATTCACCCCAACAATCCTTTGGTTAATTTTTTAAATATATATGTTTATAAATATGAAAAATAATTATATAATTTATTTAAAAACATTAAAAATATTATATAATTAGATGGAAGTATTTGGTTGAGCAATCCGTTTTTATACTTCCGGTCACTTTCGAATTCTTGATCCGTCACTATTTGTGGTTCAGAAAATACTAAGTAAAAAGTCCTTTGTCAAGGGTTTTGATGGATGAATGATGAAAGGTCAAGTAAAATGTCCCGGGGTTCAAGGCATGTTTTCGTTGTTGGTTGCCTTTTGAATGATTTCATTTATGAGGCGTGGGCGGGGGAAGAAGAAAGAAGGGGACAAAGATGGGATATTGATCAAAGTGTCTGCTAAAGTTAGGTACCCTTTTATGACGACCCAATTATGAGTCCACACGAGCCAAGTACATTCTCCCATTATTGTGCATTTCTATTTTCTAACGTTCCTCTTTGCTATCTGTTTCTCGGCACGTGACCTCTCATCAATACATCATTGTTTTTCAATATAATTGGTGGTCTTGCCCCTATTTACGGAGTTCGAAACCAAAATTATCTCTTTTTTTGGCACAAAATATGTTTTTACAGTTAAAAAAAATTATATTTGTACATAAAATGCAGTATAATATTGCGTTTTACTTTAACGGAAAGTTAGCCGTTAAAGTTAAACGCAATATTATACTACGTATTATTTAAAAATTATTTTTATAGGAAAACACAATATAATACTGTATTTTCTTTAATACTGCGTTTCCTTATAAAATTTGGGCCCACCTTATAACAGTTTTGCAAGACTGCAGAGAATAATTTATTTTTTACTGTAAAACGTAGTATAATACTGCGTTTTACACTGAAACGTATTATTATACCGCGTTTTACACTAATATTTGGGCCCACCAATAAGTGTTCTGCGGATAACTGACATAACAATAACTCAAATACATAAAACGTGATATTGTACTGTATTTTATATAAAAAATATTCTGCACCCCAAGCTCGGACTTGGCATATTTAAAGGCGTTTGAATTTTATGAAAATCCATTCAAAACTTTCCTTCAAACTTCCGTTCATACTTCTCTCTTCTTCTAATCAATCATTTTTTTATAATGTATGAAGAGCCAAAAATAATGGTTTCATTATATTGGGGGGGGGGGGGAGGTTGTGTTGGAGAATAACTCTGTGAGGTATAGCTCACCTCCACAGTGTCATGTTAAATTGCTGCTTACAATGGAGTAAGTAAATTGGTATCGTTGTTACGTAAAAAAATGAGTGTGAGGAAACGTTCGGTGAATCTTAAAGTAACCGGTAGATTTCCATATTCAGTGACTCCGCAGGGGTTTACTTATTATTCTGAGTTTAACATCGAAGATGATGAAACTCTTAGAGATTTTCTGCGGATTCCGGATCAATACAGGGAATTTATTGTAATAAAATTGTTGGAAATATACGTCAAGGTTGAAGACGTTCTCAATAATGAGGGCGTAGTAGGGATAACCCCCAGTCATCAGGTGGTTATTCTGGAGCAATTTTTGCCGGACAGATTACTGATGAAAGAGCTTGCCTTGACTTAAAATTGTCACCACCGGCGAATGAGCAGCCACAAAATAATTTTTTGACTTTATATAATCCACAAGACGACTGTAAACTTCAATTTTTCTACGCTTTAGCGATGTTTATTTTATGTTTTAATTGGATTTGTATTAACACTTATATTTTTCATAGGGGAGACCGTCCGGATATGAATTTTACAAGTTGTGACCCCGCCCCTAGTTGGAATATGCGTAGTTCTGGCCTATTGGACCACGGTGGTCCATCCGAGAGTCATCACCAATGGACAAATATCCATCATAAAACGTCAAGACAGTACAACTTGTAAGTAAAGTGATATAGCTATATGTAAAGTATTTATCTAGTTGGGTAGCTTATCATTTTGTTCTTTTTGTGCAGTGAAAACGAGCATCTTGATGTTCCTGACCTCACACAGTTGCTCATAGACGACGTACTGACTCGTGATTTGGCAGATGCGCAGAGTCAGGAAGATGATAGTGATTATGACAACGATGCGGATGAGTTTGGAGATGACACACCCTTCCCTAATGAGGGTGATGACGAGGAGGAAGTGGATGCTGAACCTGAGCTGACGAGGGAGCATGCTCCTCCACCTCCCGCTAGACCAAGAGTGTACGAGTCTCACGTGCCATTTCATAAGCGGAATATTCCCTACTTTGATAATTTGCCAAGTATGCCGTACGTGGATGCCCTCACAAGGGATGATGACGACATCCGGTCAGCGATGTTGGATGAGTCTAGACCAGCGTTGCTAGCAAAGGGCATGTATTTCCCCAATAAAGCTCGTCTAATTAGGGCTGTAAAAATTTACAGTATAAGAGAGTACCGTGAGATGATGGTAAGGGAGTCAATTACGGAGGTATACAAGGCTGTATGCTGCAGAGACTTTATGGGTTGTCACTGGATGTTGCGTGCCAGCAAGAAGAAATCAGGTTTGTAGAAAGTGCGTAAATTTATTAGCACCCACAGATGTGAAATGAACACATTCAATGAGAATCACTTCAACCTGGATGTGGACTTGATTTCTCTTGTCTTGATTTCGTATTTGGAATTGTCCATTAGGTTCAAGATTAAAGAGTGTATTACAGCCGTCCACCAGGAGTATGGTTGTACTATAACCAAAAGAAAGGCATATTTCGGTCGCAAACGTGCCTTTGAACTTATTTATGGCGACTGGGATAAGTCTTTTTCATCTCTGCCTAGGTACATGGCCGCACGACAACACTCTAACCCCGGGACTGTTGTTGAATGGAGGCATGAGCGGAGTCCGTACAGACCCGAATATATTTTCAACTATGTGTTCTGGTCATTTAAACCAGCAATTGATGGTTTTGTGCATTTTCGTCTTGTAATTTCCATAGACGGTACTTATGTCTATGGAAAGTATGATATTAAGCTTTTGATTGCAGTTGCAGTAGATGCCAACGGGCAAATATTTCCACTAGCTTTTTCCATTTGTGCCAACGAAAGCGAAGAGATGTGGACGCTTTTTTGAACCACTTGAAGCAGCATATTGTCAAACAGCGTTCCGGTATTTGTCTATTATTTGATCGACATAGTGGTATTTTAAGTTCTGTACGACACTTGCATGAATGGCAGGAACCCTATGCATACCACCATTACTGTGTGAGGCACCTGAAGGCCAATTTCCAGAAGAAATATCCTGACAAGTCTTTGCATGACTTAATGTGGATGGCTGCAATTGAGCACCAGTAGTGAAAATTCATGAGGCGCATGGAAGCGATCCGGCTGTTAGATCCACGAGCCTATACTTGGCTGATGGGACATGAGCTTCACATGTGGACATTGTATGCTAATGGCGACAGACGATGGGGAACCCTGACTACAAATGTGCCAGAGTCATTCAACGGCTTGTTGAAGTCTGCCCGTGGATTGCCTGTCACTGCCATGGTCCGCACGACATTCAAACAAAGTGCAAAGAGGTTAGTTGAAAGGCATGGAGCTGCGTTGGCATTGATGGAAAGGGATGTTCAATTCATGCCAATACCCATGAGAAGATTTGAAAGGTACAGGAGGCGAACACATTGGCATTCATTTTTACAGTAGATCACGACCGGGGTATTTTTGAAGTTAAGACCGCTATCTGCGGACACCGTGGGAATAATCTACAGACGGTGAATGAAGCCAGAAGGTTGAGTTCATGTGGGAAATGGACCATCTACTACATGTCGTGCGCAAATACCTTGAAGTGCTTTCAACAAGTTGGTTTTGGGGCAACCAACTATATCGATAGACAATACATTGTTGCTGAATATGTAGACACATATAGTGGGCAATTGCAGCCATTAGGTGCTGAGCATTATTGGCCGCCGGAACCTTTTAAGACGGTGTGTAACAAGGACTATTTGCGCAAGCTGCAAGTGCAAAAGAGAACGCGTATACGGAACCAAATGGATGTTGGTGACATCGTTTATGCGCGTAAATGTGGTATATGCTCGCAAACAGGACACGACCGTCGTAAATGTCCTTCAGATGGTATGCATGGTGGTGGTAATCCAGCTACTGGTGCAAGTTCGTCGAATGTACCCAACTATCAATGATACCCCTAG